AAAAAAAAAATAGTAACGAAGAGAATCATAACACCAGGTCTAAGAAAAAGGCAGAGGGAGGGCCTGGGGGGGGGGTGAATCGACTGGGGTGGGAGATGGATGGCGTCTAGCCTAGTAGTCGACCGGCCGCATAAAAGGGCCGCTAACGAAGCTCTGATTGCAGGCCGAGCGATTTCGATTGGACCGTGATAAAAAGTCGGCGAGCAAGGTGTCCAAGCGTAGGGCGGCTGCTGTAAAAGCGTACTAAAAATATAATGCTTGCTCGCGCCGCGTTGGCGTGAAACCCGCGGCTCGTTCACGCGGCGTGTCTATCGATGTGACCCCGTTACACGTACCCTGGCTCTAGAAAGAAGAAAAAAAAAAAAAACAACCCCCGCTTTTATTGTTCGCAATAAACTGGCAACGCCCGGCCAAAGTATCATCTGAAACGTTCTTCGCTGTCGCCAGGACGTCTGCATCTCGTAGATTCGAAGATGAATCATAATGTCTAAAAATACATTCGCTTGACCATCAGTATCTCGGGACCACATAATATTGTTTAGTGACAAAAGTTAAGAAACAGTCTACAAGCAATTTTGTTTCACGAAACTGCGGATTTCGGTCATTCTGTATATTTACAAATTTCCAGCGATAGTAATCTTTAACACAACGATTAAATCATATTTAATTACTTTTATTAAATTGAATTAACCCAAGTGTTATTAATTGATTACGATGGTGAAGGCCAAGTTTTCGGATCGAGAAAAAATTATTCCGCGACTCAAAGGGTTAAATGAACTTGAAAGTAGTTCGTTTCTTTTTCTTTGAGTATTTTATATAAATATCAAGGGTTGCTTCGTTACCAGTGGGTGTTTCTAACTGGCGTTTCGTCGAAATGCGTTTTATCTTAGCACGATCTATAAAAAAAAAAAAAAAAAAAAATGCAACACAGAATAGCTATTTATAAGCCGAGGTACATTAGACGTTCCATTTTCCCCGGCTGCTTTCAAAGAAGCGCAGTCCCAAGGATATCGTACGCTTCACTACCTAAGGAAAACGTGTCACCTGAGCTTGAAAGTGGCGGCGCCGCGAGAATTATCGACACTGATAGCCGGCTATCGTGCTAGCAGTGGTTGATACACGGTCGAACTTTTCGACGATGTTAAACATGCAGCGTGAACCGGCGGAACGATTAATAAATTGTCGGAAAGGAAAGTTGTTGGAAGTGGGTGAGTGGAAATTTCCTCCGCCGAAGCTTCGTGGAATATGGAGCAAAGATCGGTCCATTATTCTCCGAGAGTTGTCGCGCGAGTGAAAGAAAAAAAAAAAGAAAAGGAACTGGAAGAACTTATTTCTTATTAAACCTCTGGGAACCAGAGGGGATACTCTCGTGTTCGCGAACCTACGGACTTTAACGAGCTGGTTAACATACTTCTGAATTTCCCGTCTCGTTTCAAAGTCGGGTTTATTTCACTTCGGGAAACTCGGGAGCAGCTTAACTCTCGCGGATATAGCAACATAATTCCTCGTTCCCTTTTCGAGCGGGATCTAATGAAAATGTCAAGAGAAAGGGGTTACGAAATTGCAGAGAGCAAGTGAAGAACGGGTTAATTCGTTCTTTGGAGAAGCTCATGGAAGAAGGAAGTGTCCGCGAAACAGCTGACTCGGTGCAAAACTGCTAGCCAACAGTCCAGACAGAGCAAAGAACATCATCCCCTTTAGAAGGGCTCCAGACAGACGAACCCTCCAGGCAACAGCCCCCTGTCCCCTCCTCGTCACCGGCGACCGTCCCATCGCCATAGCAACCCCTTGGATTCAGCAGCCAGCCTAACCAACCGATTTGCCCACTCTCTCTCTCTCTCTCGGTACCTTGTTC